ACAGCCTTGCTTCCGCCAATGTAAGCACCCTACTACACCGATATAATAACTCCACCACCACGAGAGGGCTTATGGCAGTGTAGTCAGGGTGATGCAGTGTCTGTATAGACACTGCATTACTTACATTGGTTGTTGGCTCTCACTCTTGTCAATTTTACGGCTCCAGCATGCAAGAAAGCCAGGCTGTCACCAGGGTAGGTAGGGGGCTCCAGCAACAGTGCAGCTGCCCCCTGGGCTGCCTGCTCAGCCACAGCCTGGCTGTCCGCTGGCTTCTCACCCACCTGTTGCCTAGAGGCTTCCAGTCGCGCCACTGCTTGGAGGCTCCCTCTGGGGAGTGCTGGTACAGCCCAGAAGCTCCTGACTTCCTGCCACATAGACCCCCAGTGGAATCATTTTGGGAAAAGGAAATCTGATGAGAAACAAATCCTGCGCTGCGTTTTGGCAGCAGAAGGAATTGTTTTCCTTGTTAGGCAGATTTCACATGCACCCGCAAGGGGATGTAAGTCTCGTCATTAAAATTCCCCTCCCTCTTGCTTTTATGTCAAGTTAGGTGTGTGTCTCTTGCAGTACAGGGTGTGAAGAAGTTTTGTGGCCTAGTGCAAAGCATCTTTTTAATTGCAGAAAAAGTAGCTTCCAAATTGCCAAGTGGAGAGAAATCTGTGGGGAGAGTGCTGGCCTTCTGCAAAGAAGTCAAGAGCTGAGGAGAGAAAAATTGGCCAGGTGTCTGCCTTTCATCTGGATATTCAATGTGACACATCTGGTGCTAGTATAACTGCTATTTCTAATTGATAAGGACGTTTTGCAGTCATGGGAGGGTTGAGCTGTCAGGTGAGCCAGAGATCAGGAATTATGACAGTTTCATGGCATGTGAAAGATGCTGTGAAGTGCAGTATGATTCTAGCCAGCGGTGGTTAAATTAGGTTCTCTTGAACTTAGTCTGATGTGCAGGACAATATCATTCCATACATTGTGTAGGAGGAAGTTAGGGTTTGTTCAGGCCCACCAAATGCACAGACAAAATCACTTGTAATGTCTGATTACCAATCCCATGTTTTACTCTGGCTCTGGGCTCCAGGGATGGTATTACGCAGCAGTCTAATTACTTTCTTTTCTTGAAAATGTCGTAAAAATCAAGTATACCATTATTATTTCCAGGAGCCCACTAGTCACTTTCACTTGGTCCCCAATCTTGCAAATTTGTCAAGAGTCTAATCATATGTCCTACTGACTAAGCAACCTTGAGAATCAATTTTGTCCTGTGCTTCAGCATACCAAAGGCTTGTGTAAGGAAAACTGATTGAAATCTTTAAAAAACAAACCCCAAAAAAGTATCTTCCACCCCCAGCTATGGAAATTTCTTTTAACAAGTAATCAGCCCAGGAAAATTGTGTGGAATGTTGGTAACTACCGGTACAAGTTAATTTTCTTCTTTGTGAAATAATTTAAAAGTATAACAGTTATGACTAGATCTTGCTGTTTCGGCATGCAATAGATAAATCATGCAATAAACTGTACGTATTTGCAATAGGGAATCTAATAGAGGCACTTAATATTATATTACCCCTAGTCCAGTCTTTGCCTCTTACTCACTATACATGTTTCAAGATGGTTGGGGGTAAACAGCTATTCATTGGTCCACTCAAGGGATTCACAGTACATCAACTTTGTTTTGGCTGCACTACAATACAGCATAGTACAAAAACGGGATGACCTTTCTTGTGATCTCAGCTAAACCTGAATCTGTGTCAGAAACCCATTTTTATTAACGTTGTTCTGAACAAGTTCTCCTGTGTGTGCTTCTAACAAGCTTCAACCTCTCTAGAAACTTGAGGCAGCCTAAAGGGCAAGTGAATAACTCTGCTGAGTGAGGGCACAATATTCTCATTGAATATGCACAAGCATTAGTAAACTCAAGCTGAAATAGCTCCACCAGGAATTGCAGTTTAAATCTCTGTCATCCCAGGGGTTCTTTCTGTCACCCCCATATACAATATTTATTAATTGCTTATGAAAATGTTTAGTGTGTTCAAGAGAATGTTTTACACTTTATACTATGCACACATGGCACTACTCGGGAGGTTTGCGAGAAGTTGTCTTACAAGTTAGTTCCCATGTGGTGTCTGTTAGTCACAGCTAATTATTAAGTCTTTGGTGAATGCAGACTACATTGGAACTCTGATTCCCTTTCTCCTCTCCCCCCACTACTAAAGAACAAAAAATACTGCACACAATCTAGGTTTATTGCATGTATAATTCTCCAAAGAGCTCCAGTAAGATAACAGCTATGGTTTTACATTTCAGGTATAACTGTGGCATTACTACAGTACTCTTTGCATGAGAAACATGAGAAATGGGTAAAGAATCATTAATTGATAGTGACAAATTCAACCCCCTCCACTGTGTGTGTGTTTTGTCAGAGTAGAGTTTGACTATGGTTTGTTAAATAGTTGAAAAATTAGCCAAATTATGTTTTAATTTTAAAATGGAACTCTGAGAAATGTAATCATCTGCATATGTTAGAAACTAGAGTATTACAATAAAGGAAAGATAGTTAGCTAATTTAGCTGTTTGTTTCAGACACCTGTGAGCAAGAAACTGAACTTAATTGCAGTGGAAAAGAATAGCAAAAACAAAAGTTCAGACACAGCAGAGTTCAGGGACACAAATTCCAGTCCAGATTCAGCCTTCACTTTCTGAACCCTGCTGAAATTAATGGGAGTTTTGTCATTGACCTCAACGAATGCAGGATTAAGTCCTAAATGGAACTAGAAGTTTTCTTTCCATATGTAAACTCAGAGGCTGCAATCTTGCAAACTTTTACTAAGGCCAGTAATCCTGATGTACATGCATTATTATGTATGGGACTACTTGAAGGATGGTCTGTCTATTGTACACTATAAATTGTTCCTTTCAATGAATCTGGTATCTGCAAAGGTTCCCATAACTCTTATACCAGAGTCATCTTTATAGGACAAAAGAACCTTCCATTTCACATACAGTAGATTGAACAGGTGTTCAGAATACCAATCCCTGGGTAAATACTGATCCTCCTCAGATCAACTTCTGATAAAAACAAAACATTTGAATTATGAAAATGAAAAGTAGATTTATAATCTCAAAGGGAAATTGCCAGTTTAATGTAGTCCCAAATATAGGTGTGTGTATGATATGAAATGCCGGGGGGGGGATGGGTGAGGATATGATTTACGCAGTGGAGATATGTAAGTCTTGCTGAATTCACTGTAAACTGAACATTTAAATAAATATTTCCTTGAGGGTTTTTTACATTTTTTAATGAGAACAGATTTCATCTATTTAAATGTTCCTTTCCAGAGTAGTGATTCAGAAAGACACCACCTCTGTGGTAGTACATAACTTGAGAGAAGAGAAGCTAAAAATCTAGAGAAGGCCCATTATCTAGACCTGCTTTGCTTGCTGCTTGGATCCCAGATTTTAGTCTGAGAGCATCTCTAATAGAATGTAAAACTGACTAGTTTAAGTGCCCAAGCCACATGAAATGCAAAACTGCACAAACGGTGAAAAGCAAGTGAGGATTTGAAATTCCTTTGCTTGTAATAACCTAAAAAGTTGTTGGTAATAGAGGTAAGGATATAATTTTTATCTTGACAACATGCATTTCACATCTGATAACAGCTTTTATATTTCAACATCAGAACTACTCAATTTTGCTTTCACATTTTATAGCAAAACTTTCCAGGAAAAAACATTTGTGTTAAATATTATAGTTCCTTTCATCCCCATAAAAAGACGGTCTCTCTCAATCAGATGGCTTCTATAATAGACCCTCGTAACTGTTATGGTGGAGAAAACTCAAGGGCCCATTTGTCCCCAGAATTAAATATGTATTAAGGTATTTTAAAGAGTGTAATTTCTTTTTAAGGTTATCACTTACAGTTATGTTGTATCATTTCACAGTGCTCTAATGTTAGAGATAATAAACATGACGAGTAAGATACAGTGGTGTTAAGGTGTGATTAGTCTATGAGAAATTTACCATGATACAGCCATGATAGATTATACAGGGCCTGTGACTGTTGCCACAAAGAAGGTACAACTTTTCTGTGTTCCCATCTTCTATTAGGGTACCCTGCACTGTAGGTGGTTCTCTTTTCCCTACTCCCTGCAGGAGGGGGCGAGGGCTCCAGCTGGGGGTGCGGGCTCTGGGGTGGGGCCAGAAATGAGGAGGTCAGGGTGCTCTGGGCTGGGATTGAGGGGTTCGGAGGGCAGGAGGGAGATCAGGGTTGGGGCGCAGGAGGGGGTCTGGTGTGCAGGCTCTGGGCAGCACTTACCTCAAGCAGCGAAGATGCGGCCAGGTGGTTCTGCGCGCTGCCCTGTCCACGGGCGTCGCCCCTGCAACTCCCATTGGCCACGGTTCCCGGCCAGTGGAAGCTGAGGTGGCAGCGTGTGGAAGCCCCTGGCTGCCCCTACGTGTAGGAGCTGGAGAGGGGATATGCTGCTGCTTCCGGGAGCCATGCAGAGCGGGGCAAGCCCCGGACCCCACTCCCCGGCTGGAGCTCAAGAGCCAGATTAAAACATCTAGAGGGCCGGATACGGCCCCTGGACAATAGTTTGTCCACCCCGGTCTAGGTGCTTACCTTAAAGTAAGAGAAGAGCCCAAACCCAAATCCTGGAACTGACATCCCCCAAAGATCTAGATCTGAACACATTGACTGTGTCCTTTCTTTATGATGGGTAAACCCAAGCCCCAGAGTCGAATACCCTTGAAACTGTAGGAAAGATGGGATCCTGATCTAGATCCAAATTTACAGCTAGGGCACTTTTTTTTTTTTTTTAAATTAAAGCCCTTTGTTTTGGGAACAGTCCCTTCCAAAGATGAATGTGCTTTGTTCCATGAGTGATCTTAAAAAGACAGGAGAGATGGTCAAAACAGTACAGAAAAATTTTCAATTTAGAAATTCCAAAGGAAGAAAAAGATTGCTGTATCAGACTGAGACAGTTTGTCTTATTTTCCCCCAAAGGACACCATGGTTTAATGGATGGGGCTTTAACCTACCCAGAGGTCAGTCTTTGCTGGACAAGTGGAACCTTATCCCTGAGGGCATTGATATACTAATGACACATGGACCTCCTCTTGGTAAGTGAAGGAAAAACTGTGTGTGGTTTTGTATATAGAATGCACTTTTAGTGCAAGCAAAACTATTAATGCTTTAAGTGACATAGAACATAATTTTACCCTAACGCAAAACTATGAATTTAAAAAAAAAATTAAAATGAAGTCTAGTACGATCATTAAACTTAGCAATTATGCTGGGCTTCTAGGTATTTTTTAAATTAAATTTTTTGATTTAGTGAAGCTAAGGAAAATCAAAGGCGTATCTAGCTGCACAGCCATTTGAGTTGGATCCTTTAATTTAAGGATAGTATTCTATTTGTCTGACAAACAAAGCTTCCAATCACAAGGGCCTAGGATTCTCCGGGACTGACTAAAAACATTTTGAAAGATTGGTCCTCCCTCACAACTACCACCACCAGCACTGGAACATAATGTTTATTTAAGCTTTTTATTGGGTCAAGATTATATATAGTGGTTATCTATACACTATACTTATATAGTGGCTATTATCTACTCTTCTTTACTCTTAAAAAAGTATTTGCTTTGTTAAACCAATTTACCAAAAGTTCACAATTACGGTTAAATGTTAAAAATTGGATTACGTTGATGAAGGACCAAAATTCTGTCGCCACCTATTCATTCAAACTACACCCATTTATTTCCGTGAGAGATGAGTACACATATCTGAGTGCAAAATCTGAGTTTTCATGAGTGGCGTCTTGAGCCAGATCCCTTTTCCTTTACTCACATGAGTACCCCATTGATCCACAGAGTTATGCTGTGATAAGAGGCATCTATAGGGTTGTCCCCTGATTGCCTCAGAAAGCAGGTAAAAAGAGTATTCAGCACACGTGATTTTAAATAGAGGGTGGGATTTTCTAAAGTATTCGGTTTTGGCCTAAGTCTGATTCCATTGAAGGGCAAAATTCCCATTGATTTCAGCGGGAGAAGAGTTAGGCCAACACTGAGCCTTTCGGAAAATGCTACCATAACCCTTCTTCATGCTGTGTTGCACCAAGTCACACATTTCTGGTTCCTGCTCTGTAAGACATAGATATAAATCTAGGGTCACATCCTTAGCTAGTGTCAATTGTCACAGCTCCGTTTAAGTCAGTAGAGCTGTGATAACTTACACCAGCTGAGGATCTACCTGTATAAAAATGTTCTGTCAGGGTGAGGAAGATCAGGTGCATGCACGCATTAATTAGTAGATTGTGTGGTTTTGCTAAGTTTTACCCAGATCCTCAGCTTTTGTAAATTAAAGAACTTCCACTGACTTCAGCAGAGCTATGCAAGTTTGCACCAGCTCAGCATCTGAGCCAGCCATTACAAAATGCTATTTTAAACTGTGTGTATGATATGCTTTGAAAATGGTATTTAAATGCCAGAGACCAGCTGAATGGTCCAGCAGGGTTTCTTGGTGGATGGAGTGTGAGGAACTTAATGCCTGGTAGGGCATCACAGCTAAGGGCTTGTCCACACTATAGCAGCACAGCTGTAGCAGTTGCGTATAACCCCTTGCTTGCTACAGTGATGTAAGGAGGTTTTCCAACACTGTAGTTAATCCACGCCTCCCTTTCCCCTTCCCCCACCCAAGAATTCTTCCATCTAGAGTGGGACTTGGGTGTCTTAACTACATTTCTCAGGGGATGAATTTTTTACACCTGTGAATGACACAGGTAGACTGACCTAAGTCTTAGATTTAGACCAAGCCTGAGTTAGGAGTCAGCAATCCTAGCAGAGCTGGACGTAGTGAGACTTAAGAAGAACAGAAGAAAATTTTACACTAATAATATACTCAGTGCTTATCTTTAGCCTGGTTATTAGGGGCATTCAGCATATAATGCTACCAAGGGAATATTGTAAAAATGTGCAGGTCACCTTTAAATCCTCCAGAGCCAATGTGTGTCTTCAACAGAGCTGTGATATAGCACTCCTTCTCAGTGTAATGCCCTGTACTTTGAAAGCCACCCTTCTGTTGTAGTGATTAATTTCTTATATTTTATCTATTTACTTCTTCCCAAGAAACAAAAAATAGCACAAGCATGTTTATAATTTTTCCTGGTTGCTAGATTTCAATGGGCTGCCAATCTGCATATTGCAAGTTGGTTTCCCATAGTGTACTTTAGTCTAAGCAGCATCACTATATTTCTTAGCTGAATTTTTTGAAACATCCCTTCTAAAATTTTACTCCACTCCTTTAAAAAAAAAATCAAAGCAAAAGTATAGCCTCCATTTTGTAGATACAGTTTACACCAATTTTAATTGGTAGCATAGATCAGGGCATTAGAAGTGCAAATAATGATATTGGGCCTCAACATGCCTGAAAATATACCCCAAATATTGCCTTTTACAGTGGCTACATATTAATTTAGGTAAAATTATGTCATTACCGACCTTAGCTGTTTGACTGGTTTTGAAGAGTACATATAGTCCAGTTTATGTCCCACCATTTTTAATCAGCTTGGGCCAAATTTATCTCTGGTATAACTACTTTGAAGTCAATAGAGTAACACCAAGAGTGAGTTTGCTCCTTCTTTCAGCTATGGTTTATCTTTTGCCTCTCACAATCCTTCACACCCTTTTGAATGTTAGTCTAGGCTGTAATAGTCCAGACAGCCCACATTTATACTAATCGATGTCAAATTTTATGGATTTTCCATATTAGTTATAGAACTAAGTGGTTTTCACTTTAAAAGTAGTCAATTAGCACTAGGTTGCTTGTAGCTGTTTCCCTGTCGCTCTGTGCTGCCTATTTTCAGTGACCTAGGGCTCCAAAGTAACCCAGCACTCTCAGACCCTGGGCCTCTGGAAGTTGCTGAAGATGATGTATTTTAAATTTCTGGGGTGGGAGAGGTGCCAGGTGTGAGAACTGATCCTTCCCGTGGCCTGACTCTGGAATAACTGTGACCAGCACGTTTTACCTGACTAGCTTGGGAAGTAGACAGCTACAACAGCAGCAGAAGGGAGGAAATAAGACAGGGGTGTGCAGTGGGGAAGGGAGGGGATCAAGAAGGGGAAAAAATTGCAGCACTGCCAGGAATAAGAGTCACAAAGCTTCCACTCATGAAGAAGAGTCTAAAACTCTAGTTTAATTAATCAAATCACATACAGAAAATGTTAATTAGGCAGGAGTGGGGGGAAGGAAAAAGGAAAAAACCTCAGGAACCTAAGGAAGACAGAGTGAGAAGTTTCTTAAAAGCCATTGTATGCTTTAATGGAGAGGCTAGGATTACAGATAATGTAATAAACCTTTAGTGAATTATGGCTTCCTGAAAGTCTAAACGAAACCTTACCTGAATAGAGAAAATTAAGAGTATTGATTGCATTTTGCCCTCAGGTTTTCGAGACTGGGTTCCAAAGGAGCTGCAGAGAGTTGGCTGTGTGGAACTGTTGAACACTGTGCAAAGGCGAGTAAGGCCCAAACTCCATGTCTTTGGTGGAATTCATGAAGGTAAGAAATAGTAGGGCTCCCTAGGTCTGTATGAGAATCCTTGTGGGGGAAACAAATAGATCTCTGTGGTACTTTATACCAGATGTGGAGCGTTCCATTTATTATGACTAAGGGCTTGTCTACTCGCCGGATCAGCAGGCAGCAATCGATCCAGGAGGGGTAGATTTATCGCATCTAGTATAGCCACGATAAATCGACCGCTGAGCACTCTCCCGTCAACTCCAGTACTCCACCAGAACGAGAAGCGCAAGCAGAGTCGACGGGAGAGTGTCTGCTGTCGACGACCGCAGCGAAGACACGAGGGTAAGTAGATCTAAGTGTGTCGACTTCAGCTACACTATTCAGATAGCTGAAGTTGCATATCTTAGATCGACCCCGCGTGGTACTGTAGACAAGCGCACAGTAGAATAAAATGGGAAAACAGTCAGATCTGCTGGGTGCTCAGCACTTTGGAAACCTACTTCTTAGTGTCCAAAAAAGTCTTAGTAGTCCAACTTGAGGAACTCATATTTTAAAATATTGACTACGTACATGATCTCCATACCTGCAACTTGCAATAATTGTGCTGTGCCAGTTTATTTGCTTTCAAAGCTTGCGGGGGAGGGGGAGAAGAGTTCTCTCATATGCAGAAGAATAAAAGCAAATTGAAATTTGTCTTACCAAACCACCAGAAAGTCCCAGTTACTCCAAGTACAGGAGCCAGCAAAGGAGGTAGAAAAGACAGGGTGGTATTCGGAGAAAGCTTGCTCCATTAAGTTACCTCACTCAGTATATGGGGGAGAGTGCAGTAGAAGGGAGGGCAGCTTGTCAGGAGGGGAGAGAGGGTAATCACCACAATTCCTTTGAAATCTACTTCTGAAGTCATTCTGCAATACATTTCATGAGGTGTAATCTTTCAAGGTATGTGAACCTCAGAAAAGCTTTTTCAGAAGATACATTGCCCCATTTTTAATCTCACACCAGGCAGGCGGAGTGTGAAGCTTCAGAACAATAAGCTCATTTTGTGGGGATGGGAGGGAATGAGAGATTAAATAAATACATTTGGAGGTTTTTAAATATTTAATACACTTTGTGGCTTTCATGTTCCAATGAGACAAATACTAGGAGTCCAGCCTGGGAGAGATAGTGAGACTTTGTGACCCTAGGACTAAAAATTACACACTAAGTGCTTTATATTCCCCCCGCCCCCCCTCCCGGAGATTTTGCCATTGACTCTAATTAAGCTCTCCGTAGGCTCACAGAGTTGGAGAACTTTATAAAAGAACAGACAGCTTACTCGCCTGCTGTTGTTGATTTTCCGAAGCCCTCATGACTTTACACAATGAATTTTTATGCTTGGGTTATAAAGTCCTGTAAATAAGGAGTTTATAACAGAAACGTTGACATGACCTTAACTATAGTGGTATGAATAGCAGTACTCTAATGCAAACCAGGAAAGAATTGGACGTTTTCTATAAATATTAATGCTCAGATATTAATGATAAGTGAATACAAGAAGACTTCCAACTAGCACATGCAAATTGCCTATAGCCTTTTGTAGGTGCATGGTAAGCTGAAAGTAATCAAACTTCCTGCAGTAATAGTGTTAAGCTGAGGGAAAGCAAAGGCCTCTTAGCGTGCAAGATCATCATGAAAACACACTGTGGAGTCATGTGCACCTTACATTTAAACCTTGTAAGTAAGATGGCACACTCTACAAGCATAAAAGGAGTCTTATTTGAGCATTCAAGGGCACTAAACAAAGATCCAAATCGTGCTCAGTTGACTAAGGCTGAAGGTAAAGGAACTGCCTACTACAGTAAAGTGAGTAAAATTTCGCCTGAATTTTTCTGAGAGTTTAAGAATTAAGGCACAATTAATTCAGGACCAAATTCTGCTCTCAGACCACATGCACCCATATTTTATTGAAGTCCGTAGGAGTTGCAGACAAGTATTTGGGGCAGAATTTTGCAGTGAGTCAATTAATTTTTTTTAAACCAGTATTTTTCCAGTGCAAAGTGACCAAACTCAAACTTGCCAGCTTAAATAAACAAAACAATACAGGCAGACCACACAGCAATTGTGAAATGATTAGTCTCTGATGGACATTTTGGTAGCACACACTTTGTGTTAACTTTCATGCAGCAGTGATGTGTACTATATCACATTGCAAAAGGAAAAATATTTTCCCTGAGGTTTGGCCTGCTAGTACTAACAGTGGGAAGTTCCTCTCCTCTGAAGGACCAGTCACAAGCAAGAAATTTGGTGCCAAGCCCTTCCTATTCTGTCTTGTCTCCTGTGTCTTTTCCTGCCTCTCCATGGGGAAAGCAGGAAGTGTCATCCTGGGGCACCATCTTTCAGGGCCAGACACAGTATCGTGGGAGACAGAAAAGGTGAAGCTTGCTTTTGCCCTCGGCACAGAAGAAGTGCTGACAGTGCCATCTGTCCATCCCATCCAGTCCTTCAACGGGCCAGTGTGCCTGAAAAGCCAGGCCTGCCAGTGGGAGTCAGATCTGAATAGGTATCCGAGGAGAGCAGAGAGGAAGAGGTTAAAGCAAAGGAGTCCATTCAGACTCCTCCCGCCCCCACCCCCACTTTTTTTGAGGGAGAAGCAGAGACTCTTTTGGGGGCCAACATCTATTTCAACAGAACTTATCATAACTCTCTGCTCTCCCCAAAACAAGCTCCCTGAGCAGGCTGTTCCTCAAAGGTTCCCCCATCTCCTGCTCTACCCTCAGTAATCTCCAGAGACTGTTACTAGTTTTCATTCCCCCTCCCCAGCACCCTATAAACACCTTTGAGAGAGAAGGAGGAATGTGACTCAGAGCCTGCCTGTCCACCATTACAGGAGTGCAAGGCACTCTCGCCACTTCACCTCATGCCCCTACAGGAGGGCCAGGAACAAGTAGCATAGAGCTAGCTACATAGGCTTTACCTCACCTCCTGTGCAAGGAGAACCCCAAGCAAGGTGTCCAGATCCTTTGAATGGAGTTGAGGATGGAGCAAGGCCGAGAATCTAGCCTTACATTCCTAAAGGCCGTGTCCACTAAAGAAGTAAGGGAGAAGTCCATGATCTCTCTTGGACAGGTTGGGACAGCTTGTGGTCTCCAGGCCAGGTGATCATCCCTTCTTTATTTTTCATTAAGAAAACAGCGTGCTTCACATTTGTTCCAGATCCCTTACCCGTCTTCTCTGTTCATCTTTTTATCCCACTTCTGCCTTAACCTTAAGGATGGTGGGGAATCCTGTGACCTTTCCTTGGACATCCATAAGCCTGTGATGTCTTATTGGTTCTATATGTAGGAGATCAGAAAGCCCCTTTCTCTCTTCATTGAGGATCCCCTGCAAGGAGCTCAAGGGCTCTTGGACTGCCCTCCCCCCTTATATGCATTCCTACATCTGGCTCACCTATAACTCAGTGAGCCTCCCCTGCTTGAACTAGCTCAAAGCCCATTCTTTCATTACGATAAGCCCCTCTTGGGTCAAGAGAGGGAAGAGGCCAGCCTCTGTGGAGACACCACATAGCAGCCACTAGAGCTACACCCACCCTTACACTTTGTACTACCATTCAATCTCTCTCTGTCAGCAGTTGTGATGGTCAGACAGTAGAATTCTCCAAACAATTGTTCAGCCACAGCCTTAAGGTTTGTGGGAGCTAGTGTCGCATTCTTCCCCTCCCTCTTTGCCCAGTCCTCAAGCCACTTCAGCTCATCTAGCTAGCCCTTCATTTTCTGTGCCTTGGGCTGGAATTGCTGGTCAGATCCATTGCCCAGGCTGGGAAGCCAAGCTACAGAAAACGCCTATTCTTTCCTGCTAATTGATTTCTGAGATTTAGCAAGCCAGTGTGAACACCTGCCCCCACAACCCTTGAGCTGACAAACTGGACAATATGGTCAATGCAGGATAGGCCAACCAAGTTTGTTTGAACTCATTGAGACGATGTCTGCAGACCAAGTGCCTAAAAGGAGAGGAGTTTTCAGCTCTTGCTCCTGATTGGTCCTTCACAACCTGACACTAGAAGCATGCCAAACCACAGAAAACCAATTAGCTCAAAGAAAAGGAGGGTTTTTTGCCTTTTTCAGTTGCAGTACAATAAAAGGCCTTTCTGGTCAGAAAACTGCAATGTAAAAACACCCTGTTCTTGTTCCAGATACAGTGCATTGCATTTATTTATTTTTTTAATTGTAACTTTGTGGTAGCTTTCAAAAGCTCATAACATTTTGACAGGATTCACTGACTTTTATTCCAAAGCCCTGCTTTCATAACAGGTTTTTGCACTGCATAAGGTCAGCACCGTTTGTTTGTTTATATTATACTGTGTGTGACACGTTCTCCCTACAGGTTATGGCATTATGACAGATGGTTACACAACGTACATCAACGCCTCAACATGTACAGTCAGCTTTCAACCAACCAATCCTCCAATTATATTTGACCTTCCAACCCCTCAAGGATCATGAAGCACTACTGCACAGTTAAATGGGGAAGGTCTATAAACTGCCATTTTCTAATTACGAAACTTACATTCTCTTACATGTTTATCTCCAAAATGATGTGGGATTTTTTGTAAATGGCTGGTACAAAAAGAGAAAAAGAGGTTGTGCTTTTTGGAAATGGAGCGTCCATTTTAAATTGATACAGCATTGTGAATTTGTAAAATGACCTTTTTTTGTTTTCTCAAACTTGCCATTGTAAAATTGTTATAGTGTTCTCAAAAGGACAGCCAAGCTTTCTTTTAACAAGTGAGAGACCTTATTTTAATATTATATTATAAGCTAAAAAGGCAGCATTTAAAAAACACCAAATTTGCACAACTGTTATTTGAAAGTTTTTAAATATAATTTTTTCCTAGTTAAGATGTCACCTTTCCCATCTCCCCCTGCAGTTATAGTAAACTTTTTTTTAGTAACGTAAACATGATTTAGGGGTCTGTTTGCCCCTTGATGAGTGTGCATGTACTGTAGTTCCCTCCTATTACCAGTAATGTGCAGCAAGGGGAGAACAGACTTCACAGTTGTTTGTCTCTGCCTACTTTAAATATAGATAGCTGCATCCTATATGTGATTATCTACCTTTTTATTATTTGGGTTTTTTTTTAAATTATTTTAGCTTTAAAAATATGGGGATGAAAGCTGCAAAGAGCAGGTGTTTCATGCAGTAAAAACATGTAAATGCGGGCTCCTTTTAAATATGAATTTATATATATATGTATTTTTTGTGCATTATAACTAGGAATTTAATATTGCAAGTATAGCATCTGAAAAATTATGCTGTACAGCACATCTAAATTATGAAGGATGTGACATTTTCCAAGTGCTCAAGGCCTTCAAGAGCTTGAGTTAAATCTTTGTGCAGTTTCAGGCATGTATAGAATCAAATGGATACAATCAAGCCTAACTAAAATAAGGCTTAGTTGTCCTTTATATTTAAATATTCTTGAATTGTCTTTTTATTTCTTTTTTCCTTATTTTGCACTGTGTGTAAATGCAATCTTGCTAGCACAAACTATTGATGCAGATAGTTATTTCTGTTCTACCACTGTAAATGCTATTGAGCTTTGTTCTGTTTTATGTTACCTTGTTAATGGAATTTAGAAAAGCAGTTGTTTCTTTAAATTTATTGTGATATTATATATCTAGCGGCCTTTATATGCAAATAAAATTGCAAGATTTTTAAATACTTGGTGTTAAAGAGTCTTTGAATTAATAGTTCCATGGGCCTTGATTAGAAGAAGTAAAAAATTCTCATTTTCCATAAATTTTTATTGCTCACCGTTCATGGGATGGCAATTGGGTCGATAAAGCACTCAGTGGACTTTTCCTTCCGTTCCTCTGCCATCCATCTTTCCACAGCTTTTACATGGAGATTTTGTATTCAGGTGTAATTCAGTGTGAACTGAGTTTATGTGCAGTTTAAGGCTCATAGGACAGTATTTCAGAGTATATGGAAAAATTGATTATGTAATAACCTTTGTACCTCCTCAGTTATTCATAAGTACTTTAACTGCTCTGGGTGTTTTATGTTGTTCAACCACCATAAGTTAAAAAATTAATAGTCCTAGATGAAATATAGTGCATATTTATTTTGTTTTGACCTATTCTGCAAGTCTAGGGTCACAGAATTTTCAGCAGAACGCACCCCTTTCAGGAGAATTGTACAAGAGTGTGAGCGTCTTAAGGCAGTGACTGTAATTTACTGTATGTCTGTACAAGGCCCTAGCACTATGGGGCCCAATCCTGCTTGGTCTCTAGAGCTACCACAATGTAAATGTAAAACAAAAGTATTTTGTAAATTACTTTTAGCTCTTATGAAGATAAATGTCCAAATGGCAATGGGTATAGAACTGTCTTCATGAACCTGCTACAACCTAAAACAATAGCTCAAGAGAGCCATGAACTGCACCCGGTCACCTCAGCAGATTAACCTTTAAACCTCCCGATGATTCTGGAAACATCATCAGCTGTTTCACTACTGAGCATTTTTAGTAGAAACATTGAGATAACTCGTAACAAACGGCTTTTGTTCCTTTTTAAAAATCTTCCCCAAGTCCCACTGATTTTCAGTGTGCTTATTCAAGCCTCAAAGAGTACCACAGAACTTCCCTGAGCCCAAATCGTCCCATACCCAGCTTCCAACCTCTTCCTCCCGGCTTTTCCTTTCCGTTGTATAAATCTGACATGCCTAATGCTGAAAAAAGCAGGAGGCGTCTTTAAAATGATTTATTTCAATATAAACCGGGATGCTGTGGTGATAGTATTCTGCTTGCAGAGTTAATTCTGTCCATTTCTGAAGTTAGCTAAAGCAGACATCAGGTCTCCAGTCTGCTACAGCAGAGTGTTACAGAAACTAAGAGGCCTTGACTTTACATAGGTGTATATTGTATGTTAAAGTTAAGGGGAATGAGGCATCCAAACCCCTTAGACAGATTTGAAAATCTCAGCCTCAATATTTTTGCAGCCATAGGCTTATGTGGCTTTGATAGGAAGTTCCTACTTCAGATTCCCACAGATTAAGCCCGTCTCTTGTTTTGTATCTGATGGTTTGTTTGTTTTCTTTATGGAAGAGACATTCAACAAAGTGAGCACAGTTTGATTGCCTTTAGAGAAAAGGCTGCCTGCCAGCTTTGCTTACACCAGGGCTGAGTTTGGTCCCTTAAATAGACATGTGTCCACTCATATCAAACCCTCTATTCTGTCTTATATTCATAATCCTTCCTATAGGGGTTTTCCTTTTAGGAAAGTCTAGTGCAGAGATTCAGATCGTTTTAGGCAACGGCACCCGTTTATTAGACCAACAGCAGCTCAGCTGGACCAGTCAGTGACCCTTGTCTCTCTCCTCCTTCTGCAGCCAGCCCCTCCCACCCTTCATACTTTAGGATCCAATTCTCCAATGAAACCAAAGAGTAAGGTGGTATTCAACAAGTGACAGAAATGGGCCCCAAGAGTTCAAGCATGTTTGTAAGACAGCTGCGCATTGGAGATAGTGCTGACCACCACCTCCCCAAGGGAAGCACCTGGAAGCACTCTTCCGTGCATAAGCAGAATCTTTCTTGGCACTCCCAGGCACAAACAGGCCGTGAACCTCCAGCTACACCCCTTCATGGGTCTGTCTGTTGCTAATTTGTGCATGGGTCCACTGCCTTTAATCCTTTGGGGTGCTGTGCCTTTAAGGGAGCAGGCAAAGAAGAGGGCCTGCAATAGTGGCTGGACCTTAAGTGAGCTCTGCAAAATAGAGACATTTCCTTGTGCCCTCTCGCCCATTGCCTCAAGTTTGGGCACAGTCTGCAACTCCAATTCATTTGTGTCCCTCCGGTAAAGAGTTCACTGCTCCAAATCCCAGAGCAGACCAGGTTGAGGTTTAGGGAAGCTTGAGCCTACAGTGGGTTAAAGCACAGATCCAGCTGATTAGGAGCCTTTACTGATGCTCCAAGGCAAAGCACAAAGCTGAGCCTTGACTAGGGTAGGTGAGACCAAGTACCAGTGTCAAAATCTCAAAGTACTAGAACCAGCACCAGGAGATTAAGGCACGTCATAACTGGTCAGAAGACTAGTACAGTTCCTACAAGCATACCATTCTTTCTACATTGAAAAGCATGAGGGCTTGATCGTGTAGGGCAGTGAGGATTCTCTCAACTCCTATGTAAGCTAATGGGTCTTTGGGACCCTTCACCACCTATTGATGTAAACTGGCTGTATATTACCCTAGTGAAATTTATTTTCCCCAAAATGATCAGGTAGTTTGTATGGTTCTCTTTCCTTGCCAGGCACCACCTTCAGTTTCAGCAATCATCTGCTTTATTGAGCTTGTCTCCTCTCCTCTAGAAACTTTCCTAGTTCTTTTCCTCCTTTTCCAGGAGATTCCAGAAGTCAGTCTAGTTATTTTCTCTTCCCTGTGAAAGCCAACCACCTGGCTAATGGAAACTGTATGAGGACAAGGAGCATTAGCAGATACAGAGTTTAGCACCTTTTATTTCTGTGCTTTGCAGAGACTGTTTTCTGTCACAGGTAGGTAATTTTCCTTTGCTAGATGTTAGGCATATTTGACAAGCAGTGTATATCTGGGATAACATATCTGTTGAAGAACTATGCTTTCATGGGGGTACACATCTGTGACAAGTGTACTCCTTTTCAAGAGTGCCTCACTCTTACAGGGTTCCATATTAACATATAGAATAAGCCTCTGGTAAAAATTCTTCCTCTGGATCCTGCTCCAAAGTCCACTGACCTCAGCTGGAGTCTTTCCATTGACTTCAAAGGGCTCCGGATCAGGTACCAGGCATCTAACTGGAACAAGTTTCTGTCTATTACTCACCTTTCAAGCTGAAAGAGAAGTCCCTGGTTAACATGCAAGAACCTTTTGGCAGGAAGAGGGACCTACCTATTGTAAGTGCTGAATCTTTCCAAGTGATTGATTAACAGCACTGAAGTCGATTAACCTTTCCTCTTTTGAGAGCAGCTTTCATCTAGGCATCTTGATAAGGCTGAAAGCAGTCAAGGCCTTTATCAAGGAAGGGCTGCAGAACAGGATGTTCCCCAGAGGTGACTGGTTCCCAATTCTCCGTGAATAGTGAATTCAGCAGACATTGAGGTCAAACATTTATTAGGTTAAGAGATTGTCAAATCAATCTGGTCTACTCCAGGCAAATTCTACTAGGAGAATGGATTTTGCCAGGACTGTGTCTAAGAAGGAGATTGATGGACTAACTCCTGTTCTAGCTGCTTGTTTTTCATTTTCTGTGACTCAGACTTTTTTTGCCCTATTGACATAGATATTTTCCCCATAGCAGGAGTTTTAATAAGCAGAGCGCCAGTATTCAAAGAGAATGTAACTTAATGTCACAGGGAGACCGCCACCAAGCCTTGCAGCCCTTCCAGATTGATAGTAAATTGACCTGAGAACTTTTCCTGGGACCAGCTTCTGACCATACTTGGCTGATTAGGGTTTTAACATTTCTGCCTTCTCTTCATGATTCTGTCATTCTAGTTGAACAACTGTGCATCTTCCACCAATGGCACAGCCTGCTACTTAGGAGGTCTGGCTTACTTTTTACCAAGGTTTGTACCATTTTATGAATGGTCTCTCCCTCCCCATCCCAATATGCTAGGGCCCACTCTCTCCTCTGCTGCGCATTATTGGCTTTTTGCACTGAAAAGAGGCATGCATTCCCAATTCTCTGTGTAACAGAGTGCAGCAATTTGATTGTCTTTTTACTTGGAGGTGCAGATCTCAGCATTCACACAGCTCCTTCATCTTCAATAAACCCCTCTTTTGTGCACAATCTCTGCTGCTTATTTACGTTCACCTGCTGCTCAATTAAAATCCTATTAAGCATCCCATTTTGATTCAATCTCAGACAACCGCTGCAGCCATTAGCCCCTATCTTACACCCTGTATGTGTAGGTTTAGTTTTTTGCTTAGGTTGATGAGAAAACAGCTGAAAATGTTAGCGCACACTTGGAGTCCTCGATGCACATTGTCTACTTGCTTTCTTGCACATTCCTGAAGAGTCCTTTTAATTGTGTTTCTGTAGATCATATTAGTCCTTTCGGTGGCTGTTTTCTCTGCAGGAGAAGTCAGAAAGCGTTCCATTGCACTGAATCTGAGGCTTGTTTTGTTTTTTTTCCCCCGCAAGCTAGGTCTCACTTTAAGCTTGCATCCCTCTAGTCAGCCAACCAGTTTTGTCCCAATGGACCTCTGAAGTATGCTGCCAACTCATTATGAGCTAATACAATCACTATGCTGCTAATCAAGTCACTGTCTCACTCCAGCACTGTTTTGAAGTGTGACTCTGATTCAAGCTACCGGTTGCAATGAAGACAAGTGTCACTGTGTGTGTTCTGTATGTGTCTCTCCCTTCTCAGACCTTGTGAGTATCACCTAGGTAAGTGGCACAAATAAATTCCATTAGCTAACTAGCACAGTTGTGGGCAGGGAACTCCAAGGGGTACAGAAGGATCTTAGGGGGGATCCTTCCGTAAACTACAAAAATTGTGGTGTTCTTTACAAGCACTTCTGATATACATCATTTCAAAGTTCTCATACAGCTAGTGCCAACAGAAAGTGCTACTAATTCAGTGTCAAACTTATGTCAGTCAATAGACAAGAGCTCCCATTGATGAAATATGGATGTTTACAATGACGGACTGTAAAAATGAGTCTTCAATTTTGTATCATTCTTT